CTGTTATTTACAGTAACCATAAAATAATATTAGAAAATATACAAATGAGTTGAGAAATAAAAATATTTATGTATCATATAATTGGACCCTTACAGGTGCTTTACCGATCGAGTTACGAGGGCTTATTTCCTCATTACCACTAGGAGTGTCTGCGTTGAGGTTTGCCGTTGTGCATGACTAGATATGCATGTCTTTTTAGTGCTCTATTCTTGGAAAAATCAGATCGCACGAGTTTCAAGGCTGAATTGTATTGTGGAATATTATCAAGCAATTTAAACTAAATTAGATATTCCTAATCGGTACTAAAAGGGCAATAAATTTTTTCGCTGGTTAATTGAATTCAAATAAGGTAATTGAAAAATTTTGGCGCACAGCCAGATGGTCAATGAAAATTTACAATTTTATTTTATTATACAATTTCAGCGTTACCGATGATTTCCTCTCTTTGTGGGGAAAATTTTCTATTAACATAAGTTTAAACGTGCGAATCATATCAATTTAAAATTTAATAAAATAATTAAAATTATTTTTGTTTTAATTTAATTACCTAATTTATTTAAGTAATTAATCAAATAATATTTTTATTTATCTAAATAAATCAATATAAAAATTTCTCTATGTCAAATATATTTTTGGCAAGTCATGGGGTAATTTTTGGCATTTGATTCTCCTGAATGCCCTTTCTAAAGGCAGTAAGAGACATAAGACCTGGGCATCACGCGTTTCAAAAAGATGCAAGAGTAAAAGCATATGGGAGATTTTATCTTGGATATACTTTAGCCGGTGGCCCACTCAGAAACGGGTCAAATTATATACCATTCGATTCGTCTCGGCGAGCTGAGTCGAATGGTACCATTCTTTTTTTGCGGAAATGCCTACGAGCCGAGATATAGGTCCTTGAAAACCGAAAAACCATAGGGGGGAGTAAGCACAATTTTGGGGTGAAAAATTCGATTTTTTAAATGATAGATCATTCGAAAGAGCTCCTCGAGCTGAGTCGAATGACACCAAAATCAGCGAAATCCGACTTGATTTGACCGAGATATAGGCCCCTAAAAACCGAAGATCAAAATGGACGATTTTTGGAATTATAAGCTTTTTACACAGATAATAGCTCATTCGAAAGAGCTCGACGAGCTGAGTCGAATGACACCAAAATCACCGTGATTGAGTAAGTTTAGACAAAGTTACAACACAAAAAACAATCAACATAAACCTATGGAGCGTCGGCGAGGCGCTTGCGCAAAACCCCGCGCTTCGCGCGGGGTTTTGCGGCACGCGCCTCGCGGGGAGTCTACGGGCGTTGGGTCTGGGCTCGTAACAAAAACCTATGCCTATTTTAGCTGTGGTCGGCATGTCTGGCTTCTTCCCCAGCAACTAAAACCTGCACGAGACCAAAGGTAAGGAGCTAAAACTAATGCTCATAACTTTGTTAAATCAAGTCGGATTTCGCTGATTTTGGTGTCATTCGACTCAGCTCGAGGAGCTCTTTCGAATGAGCTATCATTTAAAAAATCGAATTTTTCACCCCAAAATTGTGCTTACTCCCCCCTATGGTTTTTCGGTTTTCAAGGACCTATATCTTGGCTCGTAGGCATTTCCGCAAAAAAAGAATGGTACCATTTGACTCAGCTCGCCGAGACGAATCGAATGGTATATAATTTGACCCGTTTCTGAGTGGGCCACCGGCTAAAGTACAGCCTTTATCTTTCTATCTTAGCGAGGAAAAAAGGTTTTCTCTTGACAAAAATTAAGATTTACGGATTTCATGATTAAGTTTCACGAGTACTAGTACAAATTATGGTACGAGCTTCCAAAATGGCCACCAACACTGAACCTACTATATTTAGTAGCTCCAAGACGTCTAGTGATAAAAAAATTAACTCGCAAACTCTATTTTAGAAAATTAACTCTTTACACCATAAAATAATTTTACCTCCTTTGTAAATAATGCCTGCCCAATTTTGCTTAACATTTTGGCCAAAATTTTAGATTTCTTAATCGACAATAAAAGGGCAATTTTAAATAATTTTTTAGAAATAATTATTTAAATTTTATTGACTGCTATGTACGCGGTGAATAAAAAGTGTGTTTAAACGTGCATCCTTAACGAGAGTCGATGTGACAACAATCAGTTGTAGATTTAATTATTGTAAAATACAATTCATGTATAAAATGTTGAAATGGAGGCTAGATGGAAACCGGACTTTAGTCTAGAAAAAAAATCATTGAAAATTTCCCCCCTTAATCCCTCCTAGTTCCTCTTTACCTCCTTTAAATCCCACGATTATACTTGTAAAGAAATAAAATGTAAAAAATTTTGTTGATCAAAAAGTTGTAGGTCTTCAGGGTAAATAGGTCTTCAGGGTGTAGGTCTTGGGGGTGTAGGTCTTCAGGGTTGACCCCGTTTACAGTCGTGAAAATTATTTTGAACGAGATCTAGTGCTCTATAACCTATCACTTTTTGCTTTTTTAACATACTCAAAAATAAAAAAATTTTTATCCCAAAATTTGAATATATGCAATATCTTTTAAAGATAAATTTTTGTATGAACTTGTATCTAATTGGCTCTTGTTCAGTTTCCCTGTCCTATAAATTTTTTTGGAATTGGAGCATTATATTGGATTTTTTAAACAAGATTGACACCCTCCTATTTTGGCTGGTCAAAATAAAATTGAAAAAGAGCCAATAAATATAAAAAAATCTTGATAATTTAAAAAATTGTAATCAAGTTTAAAATATCTAATAAAGCCGAACACGAATTTAGGATACTCTTAAAATTAAATCACCTCATTTTAAATCGATTTCTCAGTTGCAATTAAATCCTAAATTGTGTTCGACTGTAGCTAAATTTTTAATTTGTTCGAAAATTAAAAAATAATTTTTTTTTGTTTTGATTTTTTATCTTTTTTTGTTGTTTTTTCTGTTTTTGTACAGGGTGACAAAAAAGTAACCTGGCACTTTCCTATCCTTTATAAATTTTTTTTGTTCATATCATTTTTAGATAATTCTAAGTTTATTTTGTAGCCCATTTATTTCTCTATCATATAGTAAAATTAAAAATTTTTTGATTAAGGATTAAGAAAGTTACCGTATTTACTGAAATAGTACGGCCCCCTTTATTAGAACGGCCCCCTCAAATAGTACGGCCCTTTCGATGAGGGTTGAAAAATAGTACGGCCCCCTCAATTAGTACGGCCCCCTTATTAGTACGGCCCCCATGAAAAAATAGTAAAAATCTTCTCTTTAAATTATATTAATTATCCTCACAATATTAAGCTGATTTTATGAAATTTTAGTAGTATAGTAGTGATGGTCGGGAGTTAAAAAAAGCCGAGAGTCGAGAGTTAAATCCATCTTTCTTATTAAACTATTAAGACAACTGAGGTGTATACAAAGGTTGAAAAATCGGATATCCGAAACCGAACCGAAAAAGAGAACTGAATCCTTTACAATAGTCTTTCCGCGCCTAGTTTAAATGACCGGAAACTTGAGTAAAATAAGATAAATTAGTAATGTAAGGGGATTGCATTTATATTAGACCTGAAGAATATGAGGTATTTAAGATCACGGATTCAATAAAATCCGAAAAATGCCAAAATAGGTCCGAATTTTTATAAAAGGTCGAATTTTGATTAGAATTAAAATTTTTACAGATTAATATTTACTAAATTTAAATTTGAGGGGTCTGCAAACTGGGAAAATATAATCTTGCCGACCGTTTGTAGGCAAGACCATTTTGCCGACCTATAGTTTTGTTGAGCGTTTTGTCCTGACTAGGGTTGCCGTTTTCGGTTCGTGCCGAGTTCGTTGCATTTTTTCGAGTTTTGATTTTTTCGATTCGGTTCGTTTTCAAGTTTTTCGAGTTTGGTTTTTTCGAGCGAGTTTTTCGAGCTAGGATTTTTTCGAGCGGGTCGAGTTTTTCGAGTCCTTTTTCAAAAAAATTTTTATTCAATCATCATCATCATTTAAATGAAGGTAATTAACTTCAGGCGCTAATTTAAGTTTATTTAAAGATCATTTAATGCCTAATAATATCCTCCACATGTGGATATAGAAGGATTAGAAGTTAGTTATTTGAAGGCTAACAGGCATATAAAGGGATTTGAGAGATATCTAAGGAGTTTGAAAGATTAAAAAGGATTTTGGAGGAATTGTAGGCGTAGGCGTACCTGAGGATTTATGGGATCAAGGGAGATAACGGAGGATTAAAAAGGATTTCGTTGGTGTATAATAAAAAACAAACTTAGTTTAGGGTGGCAAAACCAAAAAATTATTCAGAAAATTCCGAAAGAGGGTTGAAATATAGTACGGCCCCCTTTATTAGAACGGCCCCCTCAAATAGTACGGCCCTTTGGAAGAGGGTTGAAAAATAGTACGGCCGGCCGTACTATTTCAGTAAATACGGTATGTAATTTTAGGTAAACCATATCAAAATTTTCCCTCCAAAATTATATTTTCTGTTTCTCAGAAAGGAGAAGTCCAAATGGGATGATTTCAACAATTATAGATAAGACTGCTCTAGATGCCAAAAAATTTTTATGTAATTCCTGCAATCTATTCTTATGTTATAGACAAAATAACTAAAGAAAGGTGCGACCTGGGGCCAATAAAAATTAAGGAGACAATCGACAAACGATAGATATATTACAAATATATCGTTTATCATCTGGAATATATCGAAAGTCGTCAGAATATATCCGCTGACGATATTATGGAAATTATCGTTTATCAATTGTCAATTGTCATTTAGCGTTTACCTCCAATAAAAATTAAAGGAGACAAACGATATAATAGAGGAATTTCTTATCTATTCTCAAAGTTGTAAGAAAATGTGAGGCAAACAGAGAGAGTGAAAAAACAAAATAGCTCACTCCTTTCCCCTCTTTTCCTTATACTCAAACACACTCGAGGATTGAAACTTTGACTAGCCACAACTCGGCCCAAAGTTGTTTTTGTTGTTAAATTATTTTTTATTGTTTTTAGTGTTTTTAATTAAATGTCTGGAATTGGAGGAAGAGGACCGGCGTGGACTAATGTTGAACTTTTAGCCTTTTGTTCGGTAAATTTTCGAAGTTTCCTTGAATTTTTATTTATTATTCTATATCAGGCTGTCGAAAAGAAGCACGAAATACTTTTTAATACACAAAAGGGTGCCAATTATAGTAAAACAATCGAAGAAGCGTGGATTGAAATTGCACAAGAGATGATTGAAATGGGATATATGAGGTTTAGCGACAAGAATGTGAAACAATTGAGAGGAGATATTTGGAGTAAGAAGAAGGAGGCAGTAATGAAGAAATATGATATTTCACAAAAGACTGGGAGTGGAAAAACAAAATGGGAGGAATGGGAAAAAGTTATTCTCCGTATTGTTAAAAGAACGAAACAAGCTGATGGTCTTGATATTAGTGACTCAGGAACGGCTCCATCAAAATTACAAACAAAACTTTTAAGTGAAGTGAAATTGTGTGAAATACCCGAATCTTCGTGTACACCTCGAGCTACAAAAAAACGAAAAGTTTGTAAAATATGTAGATAAAATAATTCTTTCCACTTTTTAGTACGAAGACGACGACGACACTTACAGTATTTCATTAAAGCAACAGATTTTGAAAGCCGATCTCGAATATAAAAAACTTCTCATTTTTGAAAAGAAAACTCAACTGGGCATACCAGCAAGTTTTGACAATAATGGAGAAGTAATAATAAATGAACACTTAAAAAAGAAACAGCAACAATTGCAAGATATTCTTTACCAGCCTCAGTACCAACTTGACGATATTGACGATCTTTGATCTTTTTTGTTTAATGAAATAATTTATTAAGGATTTTTTTCAAAAATTTTGTTAAAATATAAAATTTTATTAAAGATGATTAAATTCACAAAATGCACGAAATTGTGCCTCAAATCTATAAGCTGCTTCATTCTCATTTTCTTGTTCATTATTTTGAATTTGCTCAGGAATTATTTCAATTTCTTCATAATTACTGTCATCGTTTTCTTGCTCGTTCCGAGAATCAACATGAAAATTTTGTAAACATGCACAAGCAATAACAACACTGGCGGAAATACTAGGGTCTCTGAAACGCATTGGTCCATGGCCTTGAGCGCCTTTCAAACAAATAAATCTATTCTTCCATATACCAAATAGTTGTTCCACATTTACACGAGTTTTAGCAAGTGCCCTATAAAAAAATTAATAAGTTATTTTTATTAGAATATTACTCGTAGAATAATTTTTGTAATCCTTCTCTTCCTTCCTTCATTGATATAAGCCAATCTGTATTAGCATAGGCAGAATCTCCTATTATTATTGCACCATCAAAAGGTCTCCAATCATTAAACTTCACAGATAAAGTTTTTCTTAAAACACGTTGATCATGTACAGCTCCGGGGAACCGGCTGCTGACGAAAAGAAATTTCTTCCTAAAATGCAAGTATACAAAAACTTAAATAATTTTCTCACCCTCCATCTGAAACTGCCAAGACATTTAAAGCATTTCTACGGTTTCTCGAGACGTAAACTCCACCACTATCCTTAGGTGCTACAATATCAACTAATGTACCATCAACGGTATATAATTGCTAGGGTTGTGCATTTTATAACATTCATGATTGTTGTATGAGACTTTCCTATTTATAAATGTGATTTTATATAATAATATAAGAATTACCTTGACCATCTGAAATTGTGTAATAAAAATCATTTGCCGCGTAAAATCTTAAAGTTATAAGCACTTTGTCCTTTACAGTCAACGAATGATTCGTGTTGATAATTGCTGATAGTTTCAACCCTAGCTGTTGAATTAGTAGTTCGACTTGCCTCTCAGAAAAACGAAATCTTTGCTGAAACTCTGAAGGATTCTCGAAGACAACAAATTTCCTAAAACAATGCTCCTTCCGTTCATTTAATTCTTCATCAGAGTCAGATAAAATATTTACAAATTCATATTCCATTTTTCGCTAAAATTTAACAACAAAAAATGCAATAATATAAATAGACATTCGAAAAGACGCCTATTTGAGAGGATGAGTCCCTATTTCTCTCAAAAATGGATGTACCCTGCGCGAGAGCCTCTAGTAAATTTATTTTTAAAGAAAAATTTCTGAAACTTATATCAAAAGATAGAGCACATTCTAATCTATCTAAAAATATTTTATTTGGAAGTTTTAGATTGAATTTGGATTTTTAAAAATTTTTTTAAATTTCAAACGATAAATTTGGGGGACGGGGTTGAGCATCCGATAAATTTGTCGTTCAACTACCGTAGTTTTACACTCGTTACCATAATAAATTATCGTCTCAAACGCCAAACGACTAATTTCGAACGATAAACGACAAATCTCGACGACATTCGATATAATAGAGACGATAAACGACAAACGATAAAGATATTTATTTTTATTCGAGGTATTCGACAAACGACGTATCCGCACGATAAACGTGAAAAATATATCTATCGTTTGTCGATTGTCTCCTTAATTTTTATTGGCCCCTGGAGCAATAATTTTTCTCACTTTCCTTGAACCTTATCTCGAAGTAGAATAAGGAAAATTCTAACAGATTTATAGTATATCTTATTCTCCATTATTTCTCTATAATTTCATCATTATTTGATCTCATTATTTTCAATTTCAATAAAGTTATGCCAAAAATAAAGTGCCCGGTTACTTTTTTGTCACCCTGTATAATGAACTCTTAGAGTTTTTAATTTTTTTGAATAATATGTATGTATACTTCGAAATGTTTGTAAATACGACACAGACGCCGATTAAGTCGATTGATATGTCATTCGAAAGAGCTTGTCAAGTTGGGTCAAGCAAAGATTTAGTTGGCCATAACTTTGTTCATAACATCCAATCGAGCTGATTTTGGTGTCATTCGACTCGCTCGACGAGCTTCGAATGTCATATCACTCGACCTAATCGGCATCTGTGTCTCGTATACCGAAATTTTTCCATGCATTTTTGTGTTTCTTTGTATTTTTGTTTTGTTGTGTTTTTTTGTATTTTTGTGTTTTTTTGTATTTTTTGTGTTTTGTTGTGTTTTTTTTGTATTTTTGTGTTTTGTTGTGTTTTTTTGTATTTTTTGTGTTTTGTTGTGTTTTTTTTTGTATTTTTTGTGTTTTGTTGTGTTTTTTTGTATTTTTTGTGTTTTGTTGTGTTTTTTTTGTATTTTTGTGTTTTGTTGTGTTTTTTTGTATTTTTGTGTTTTGTTGTGTTTTTTTGTATTTTTTGTGTTTTGTTGTGTTTTTTTGTATTTTTTGTGTTTTGTTGTGTTTTTTTGTATTTTTGTGTTTTTTTGTATTTTTGTGTTTTGTTGTGTTTTTTTGTATTTTTTGTGTTTTGTTGTGTTTTTTTGTATTTTTGTGTTTTGTTGTGTTTTTTTGTGTTTTGTTGTGTTTTTTTGTATTTTTTGTGTTTTGTTGTGTTTTTTTGTATTTTTTGTGTTTTGTTGTGTTTTTTTGTATTTTTTGTGTTTTGTTGTGTTTTTTTGTATTTTTGTGTTTTTTTGTATTTTTGTGTTTTGTTGTGTTTTTTTTGTATTTTTTGTGCTTTGTTGTGTTTTTTTGTATTTTTTGTGTTTTGTTGTGTTTTTTTGTATTTTTTGTGTTTTTATATTTTCTTTTTAAATTTCCCTTCTTTTAAATAAAAAATATCATAACTTTACATTTTTCCAAACTCTAATAAATCTTCAATGAACATGCACTGCAATAAGATAAAATCCTAAAGCATAAACAGCAAAAAGAGACAAAATAATAATCCAAGCAATCCAAACTCCACAATTCCATTGAACATAACGTTTTTTTCGAATATTGTTTTGACTTCCAGTTATGTTGTTTAAAATATTGTTAAGACATCCTTGATTTTTAAAAAATTCCAAATTGTTTTTCTTGTCATCCTTGTGGAAACTTATTGTGTTTTTACATGCTCCTCTATTGCAGAAAATACCTGAAACAGATTTAGCTTTTTAGATTTATTTTGACTCTTTACAGACACGTTAAACAGAGAGTTGCACCTCGACCCAGTTCGCGAACGATTTTTTTCACAATTCTCCCGGCCCGAACCCCGCCCGGAAAAGTTTCGGGGTATTTTAATGAACTAATTCTGAAAATTAGAAATGCTTTTTATCATATCTTCCTTAAATATAGGTTCATAGTAATATTATGTAGTTCCTTGATATTGTTCAGCAGGGTCTGGATTATCATCGAAATAAAATCGCAAAATATGGCCATAAAATATTCAAATAAATTGGCTAAATATTGACAAAAAATGCCGAAACTTAGATAAATATTAAAATAAATTATGGTTTATTTAGTGCAAAAATCGAGAAAAAAGTTGAAATTAACAAAAAACTGTTTTTGTTGTCTGTATTACTGTTTTTACGCTAATAAGGAGATTTTCGTTATTATAAAGCTGAAAATTGACTCAACTAGGTCCCCCATGGTTCTGTACTTTTATCCGGGACACGCCCTCCTTGTCGCGGGCCACCTTGTCGCGACCACCTTGTCGCGACCACCTTGTCGCAGGCCACCTTGTCGCAGGCCCACCTTGTCGCAGGCCCACCTTGTCGCAAAGGTTGAAAATTTTTTATGCTGATATGGCGGGTAGAAAAAAGGCCTTCTGGGCACGATCGGGGTTTTCTGGAGTAATTTGGATCGGTTTTACTCTGTTAAAACTCCGGTAGACTTTAACCGGATAAGAGAAAGTAATGAAAGGAAAAAAACACTCCTGGAAATCAACTAAAAAATTAAAAAAAAACCTAGAAAACAAAATAGAAATTCTAAACCTTCCATATTTCCAATCGTTGTAGCCGTGGGATGAAGTACGGCACGTGGCGAGTGAAGTTTAGGCCAGCCTTGAATATATAATGAAATAAAAACCAAAGGAAAGCCTGCGACAAAGTGGCCTGCGACAAGCTGGGCCTGCGACAAGGTGGGCCTGCGACAAGGTGGTCGCGACAAGGTGGTCGCGACAAGGTGGCCCGCGACAAGGTGGGCCGTACCCCTTTTATCCGTATCTCGGCTCAAAGTTGTTTCTGTGAACTAAAACTTTCCAAAAAATAAAGTTTTCTGGCTTGTTTGGTACCAATGTTTCGACCAAATTTTTTATTCCCCCAAATTTCCTCTTAAAGAAATGTCTCCTTTCCGCCTCCCCCAATTTTTAAAAAAATAACCTTTATTCATTTCATTAATATTTCGGCGGGGACGGTATTGTTCATAAAACTGATCATGGGGCATTCCTTCAGCAATAGCAATACTGATTTCACTATGTGGATCGTTTAGTTCTTCCGGGCGATATTGCTGGCGACGTTCGAACGTTTCAAGTGGAAAATTTTGTTGTTGAGGAATTGAAGGTGAATTTTGTCTTCGACGAAAGAAATTTTGAAAATCATCAATTTCGGGGAATTGACATGTTAAACCCCCTAAATGGATTATTGCGAAAAATGAAAGTGCAGCAGCAGCCAGACCACTAACGAGTGTATGCACAATAAACGCATCAGCCCTTTTACCAAAACTTGTATGACGTTTCTTTCGAAACAGCTGCGATAGATTAGTGTTGAAAGGATTCTGAAATTTGATTTATTGTAGGTCTTTATGAAATAAAGTGGGTCTCACTATAATATACACCCAATACTTCGGAAGCCTCCCACACTCTGGTCCTTAGAAAAAATTCGTTGTAAAGTTATTTAACCCCTACCCGCGGCTCCAATAACCACTGAATTAGCAGCAAAAATTCCTACTCTGAGTCCAAAAACTCTGAGTAACTCGAAACTCTGGGTTGTTTGACCCGGTTATTCATGGACTTAATCGATTATTTACCCCCGAATTTATTTACTGGCCCTGTAGAAGACCATGTTTTACCTCTTAAATAGAGGTGCATCTAGTATTGAGGCATAAGTATTTTTGTCCTTAATAAACTTAAAAACTACCTTGATTTTCTGTGTAAAATACTTTTTCAAATTTTGCCAATTATTTTTCTTATAATTTTCAACTGGATTTTCACCTAATCTATTTTTAAGATTACTTGTAAAATCCTTAATGTATCTAATTATTTCATGACTCGATTTTTTTAGCTCATCCCTTAGCATTTTATTTGAATTTGCTATTTCTCCGTCAGTCTCGGTTTTTGTATTTTCATCATTTTTTTCAATTTTCAAAGCTTTGCTGAAAACTGATAAATTGGGAAATAATTCTGAAAATTCTTCTCTTAGTTTGTTCTTATCGTTCAAATTGTTGAGAAAATTGTTGAGAAACGCGACTAATTTCTCCGACAACTTATCTCCATTCTTCTTGATTTTGCTGAGTTTAAAATAGAGCTTTTCTATGGGCGTTTTCTTTGTTATAAAATTTTCAATAACAACCACAAACGAATTAATTTGTTTAAACTCATTTAGGAACACAATGTTTTTGCTGTTTGAAGCTTTATTTCTTATCCAATCAATTG